TCTTCCAGTGATTGATACACATTGCTCTTTATTTAGAAATTGCATAACATTTCATAATATGAAATGCAGTATTTAATTATTTAATTTAATTATTCTTCTATTGAGTTAATTTTTAGTTTGGGACAGTTATGCATAAATCTGCAACAGCGTCCTTGAGCATGTGTCCATAGGTATAAATGTTTTGATTTCTATAGGATACACTAGATTATACAAAGTGTACATGTGTTTTTTATAGATTTCACTTTACTTTCCTAAATGATAGTGGCAGTTAGCAATAGCAGTATACAGGTGTCCATTTTCCTGACACCTCTCCAATTTAGTTGCTTATTGACATTTAAAAGTTTTAATTATCTGAAATATGTAGAGAACTTGAATTAAAAATGAAAAGACATTCCAGTGTTAGCTCTTTCAGAATAAAATCAAGCACGAGAAAGTAGTCAAACAAGACTATAGTACTTTAATAACAAGCTTGATAAGACACATATATGTCTGTGTGTATATATGTGCACATAACACATGAGCGCGCACACACACACACACACACACACACACACACACACACACACCTGCCGAGGAAAACACATTCCAGAGGCTATCCCTGTGCTCAACGGTGCTTATGTATAGGCTGGAGTGAATGGGTTGCACCTCAGACAAACACCTGGACAACTTCCATGAGTTTCAACAAGCAGTGAAATCGTGGTGAAGGGCCTAGCAAAGAGACCACATGAAGCAAGTACTCAGTAAATTTTGGTTCCTATTCCTCTACCCGTTTCAAATCTTAGAAGATGAAGGCCTGGCGTGTTTGTCCATAAGAACAACAACAAAAAAAAAAAACAGAAGAGCAGGTGCACAGGGAAAAAGAACTTAGAGAAAGGGAAGGAGAGAGACTGAAAATTTGACTGTCACCAGTTGAACTTTGGGCAGCAAGGGAACGTGAAACTCCACTTGGAGATAAGACTGCTCCATCTTGTGGATGCTCCTGGGAGAGCAGGCTGTGATTTGGACTTCGGTGAGCATTCCCGTTTCTTTTTTCCACAGTGGTCTTAAGGAACAGCAGTTCCTTGATTCCAATATCTCAAAATAACCATTCTTAATATCTTGCCAGCTTTTTTTTCTATAAACAAGTGTTACATATTTAACAGGGTAGTGATTGTACCATCTGTAGAGGTTTTAATTTTCCATGATTTTACACACTGCAATTTGTTTCTTAAAAGTGCTTTTAGGTTGAGAAACAAAGAAGTCATACAGAAAACAATAAGGTAAATGTGTAGACACATATTGGTATAAAGAAATACAGAGTAACTTTCATCCAGTTTAACAAACACCATACTACCCACCCAGCTTCCTGTTCAAAACTGAATTCTTCCTCTGTGGCCCTAACCCATAGGCAAAATTTTATGGCATCTACCACCTTTTGTTATAGTTTTACCTTCTAATTTTGTACCTGAAACAGTGTAGGGTGTTCGGGGCCTGTTTTGGAGCTGTATGTAAATGAAACTTCATGCATTCCTTCAGGCCTTACTCATGCTATTTTATCTGTCCTCTTTTGCTCTAATGACGTTAAGATTCATCCTGTGTGCTGTGTATCTAAAGCCCTTTCATTTTCATCATTACATAGGATTGCTCTGATTCAGCATAACACAGTACTAAATTTCTCAGTCATTTGTTAATGGATTTGGGGATTTCCTCCAGCCTAGGCCATCTGGGCACATGTCCCTGCCTTCCTATTGGATCCTTGGGGGACACCTACCTTCTGCTTTACTAGATACTGACAAATTATCATTTTTATTATTGCACTTTAATTATATGGAATAATGGGTTTCATTGTGGCATATTCATACATGCAGATAACATACTTTACTCATATCCACCCCTCATTGTCCTCCTCCACCCCATCCCATTTCTTTTCTGTAATAGTTTCTCTGCTACTTTCACATCTTTCCCCCTCTTCGGTTTCATATATATAGGGGAAATGTGATACTTGTATTTCTGTGTTTGACTTATTTTACTTAACGTTATGATCTCCTGTCCCATCCATACTCTTAAAGATGATATTTCTTCAAACTTCCTTGTAGTTTTATAACATAGTGTATATAAACAACATTTTCCTTATCATTCATTATTGATGGGCACCTTGGCTGATTCCAAAACTTAGCTATTGTGAATTGTGCCACAGTAAACATGGGTGTGCAGGTAGATAGTATGCTGATATTAACTCCTTCTGCTATATACTAAGGAGTAGTATAGCTGGATCATATGGTAGTTCTACTTTTAGTTTTTTTTGAGGCACCTCCATATTGATTTCCATAGTGGCTGCACAAATTTACATTCCTACCAACAGTGTATAAGGGTTCCTTTTCCCCCACTTCCTCACCAGCATTTATTGTTTTTGTATTCTTGATGACAGCCATTCTGACTGTCAAGTTATTTTTCCAAAGTGATTATATAAATTTACACTCTTTTATTGGAAGTTTTCTTTGCTCCACATTCTCATTTACACTTAGTTGATAGTGTCAGTCATTTTAATTTCAGCCACTCTGCTCTGTATGTAGAAGTATCTCCTTATGATCTCAATTTGCATTTCCATATCTCTAAAGAGGCTAGAAACCTTTTATTTATTTGTTGACTTATGGTGCAGGGGATCAAACTCCTGCTGTTGATACTATAGATCCTTTCTTATGGGACATATCTGTCCTGTTTCTTGTCCATTTGTCTGTGGGGGTCATCTTTTTCTCACCAATGGTATATATTCTGGATGCAATTCCATTGTTGGCTAAATCTACTACAAATACCATGCTGCACTCTGCATGGCTTATCTTTTAACTCAGTCAGGGTTTTGTGCCTTGCTCCTCTTTAATTTGATCACTGTTTACTCGTCACCAATGCACCAGGTGATATTCTTGGTCCTGTGGTTACAGTGTTAAATAATACAGAAAGATCTCTGTCCTCAAGTCAGGGGTGGTCAGTGGGACAGTAAATAAGTGAGCAAATGGGACCATTTCAGATATTGATAAGGACTATAGTAAACTAAGGGTATATTTTTAAAATTGCAAAGTTTAATGGGATACAGTGTGAAGTGGTCTGAGGGTGGGGCTCCCTAAACTTGGAAGTCTGGGTTCTGACATTTGAACCAAGTCTGCAGTGATGAGGTACATATACAGGTAAGCTGATTAAGGCCCAGCCCAGCATTTCAGTGAAGTGGAAGAATTGTCTCAGCAGTACTATCCCATTGGTGGCTTGGATTTTTAGAGGCGTTAGGGGGTAATTCTAGGGATTGAACCCAGGCCTTGTATATGCTAGTCAAGCAGCTTCTTTGTTACCCTTTACATGCATTGTTTTTTTTTTTTTTTTCTGATACTAGGGAAGATTACCACCGAGCTACATTCCCAGCCCTTTTTATTATTTATTTTGAGACAGGATCTTGCTAAGTTGTCCAGGCTGGCCTAGAAATTGAAATCCTCCTGCCTCAGTCCCTGGGATTACAGTCACCGTACCTGCCTAGATACCATCTTGACAAGATTTTTCCCTCACAGGTTGCCATAGAATTTAGCCCTCCACAGTTTCACCTCCAAACTGCAAGACCTTGACATTTTGGTGCATATTTATGTGACAGATCAGCACCATGCAGTCCTCAGGGTGTTGTTTGCAGTTAGAGATTTCTTCCCCTTAGAATTTCAGGTTTGGGAGCAGAGGAGCCTTTGATTCCAGGGGAAGCAGGCTCTGGATCTTCTGTAGGCATATACTTGCATTTCTGCCTCTTGCTATGAGCTCTTATGAAGGAGACTGAGATCAAGAAGGGGACAGAATAGAAATAACTGTGACTGGGTGAGGTCAGCAGCAGAATTGGAGAACAGCAGGGAGTGCTTTAATGCCCACTCTGTCACTTCCTGACCCTATCCATGAAGTGAGCCCACACTGGGATTCAGCTTCCTATCTATCAAGGGTTGGACTAGGTGGTCTCATAGGTCTCTGCTATGTATAATGTCAATCAACTTGATGAATGAATGCTAGATAGCTTTCCTGTTCTCCACACTTAGGCTTCTCTGACTTCAACAGTAAAGATCCAAGGGCTTAATGGAGAAAGGTGGAGAGGGGAGAGAGAACACATTGTGAACATATTCTAGCCTTTAAAAATCCATTTTAGTATTCTAAAATTTATGTGGAGAGGCACAGGCCCTGGAATAGCTAAAACAATTTTATAAAAGAAAAAGTGAGCAGAATCTCTACCAAATATTAATTTAAGGCCTACTCAGTAGTTAGAGTAGTCAGAGCAGAGTGTTTTTGGGGGAAGGGACAGACACATAAATCAATGGAAAAGAATAGATGCCTCCCCAAATTGACCCATCCAAATGTACAAAACTGCTTTTTAAGTGCACAGTCAATTCAACGGAGGAAGGACAGTCTTTTCAACAAGTAACATTGGAGCATTTGGACACCTGTAAGCAGAAAGAAAAATCTTGACCTAAATCTCCCACTTCATTAAAAAATTAACTCAAAAGTTACAACCAAGCACAGAACAAAATATAAAATGCTATGACATTCTAAAATTTTTAGAAGAGAAAACTTTTGGGATCTGGAGCATGATAAAGAGTTTTTAGACATGACATATCCAAAGCACTTTCATAAGTGGAAAATGAATAAAGTGAACTTCACTACTTTATTTTTATCATGACACAATACCAAATTTTTATTGGACATTTTTTCAATAATTTAAATTTTTATAATTTGAAAAAAATCAGCTGATTTAAGTAATTTGATTATTTAACTAATGAATGGATTTCTTTATTAATTTTTAGATGTTAGATTTTTCTAAGTGTAATTTATAGTAACCAAATTTACCATCTTAGATTGGACAGTTGGATGAGTTTTGAAAAATATATAGTCATGAAATCATAACCATAATCAAGACATGGAACAGTTTCTTTCCCCCAAAGGACTCCACCACTTTAAAAGAAGAAAAAAAAAACACCTTTTATTCTAAAAGGAGCCTGGTAGGAGAATGAAAGAAAAGCTAGAAGAGTTTATTTGCAAACCATATATCCAATAACAGGATAGTATCTAAACTACATAAAGAATACTCAAAACTCAACAGCAAAAATAAAACAATCCAGTTAGAAGATAGGCAAAAGACATTTATAAAAGAGGAGGCATAGATTACAGATAAACATACGACAAGAAGTTTTTTAAAGTTTTTTTAATTGAATTGCTAAAATAAATAACTAATGACAACCCCAAACAATGGCAAAGATTCAGAGAAAGGAATCTGTGTATTTCTGGTGGGGATGTAAAACAGTACAGGCACTCTGGGGAAAGAGCTGGCAGTTTCTTATAATAGTATACCAGTGTTAACCAAATGACCCAGCAACTTCACTCTGGGACATTTACCTCAGGGAAATAAGATTTAGTTTATACATAGATCTATTGTAAATATCTGTAGCCATTGTATTCATAATAGCACCAAACTAGAAATAACCCAGATGTCCCTCAGTGGATGGATGGATAAACAAATTGGCACATCTATACCATGAAATAGTACTCAGCATGAACAAATAATGAAATATCTTATACACACAACAAAAAAAAGCCCATCCCAGAAGTCACATAGTGTATGATTCTATTTATATAACATTCTCAAAATCATAAGAAGGTTTAGGGAAGGTGGGTGTGGTTAGAAGAGGGCACCACAGGGAGGCTATGGTGATGAAGCTTTTCTTAACTGTGGTGGTAGATACAAGATAGTGTTATCTAAATATACATACACACATATAAATAACCACAAGGTATGCTGATTCTCTGTTATCTTTTACAACTGCACATTTATCTACAATTGTATCCAAAAAGTTTAATTAGAAATAAACTAATTTATGTAATTAGTTTGATGGTTGCATGAATTTATTCATAAGTATGATCATAATGTTAACTAGTTCTGTATTGTTTTGAACATTTAGGTTGTTTACAATTTTTTGCCATTAAAAACAATAACACTAAGTTGAATACCCTTCTGATAAGCTCCCAGATTGCCTTAAACTAATTTTGCTCTTTTACCTTAAAACATTTACCCTTGATTTGCTCTTTACTTTAAAACATTTACCAAAATCATGTATGCACATAGTTGTAAAACCAAATGGCAGTTGAATAATGCTTCTAAATTTAAAGTGCCTTTAAATCCCCTGGGATCTGGCAAAATGCAATTCTGGTTCTGTTGTCCAGGGAACTGAAGTTCTGTGTTTCTCATGAACTTGGGCTTGGGTGTGAAAGCTTCAGGCCCTCCTCCTCAAAAGGAGTGGTGAGGCATTAGAAGGTGCCTACAGGAAAAAAAAAAAAAAGGTAAACCCCTCCCAGATAACCAAGGTTTAAATAGTAATTTTAAACTACTATTTTGATTTATTGTTTGAAAATATTAACTTCCAGTGGTGATGGATGAAGGTTTGACATTTTGTAATCTAGTCCGTTTCCTCTGTCCATTTTATCCTCATAACATATTTTTCCTAGTATATAGTTAAGTCAGTAACAAATGTTTATATCATTTTGGTACCAAAATATTTTCTCTGTAAAGCCAAGTAATGGACAATCATGACATTTCTTTTGCTTTTTAATAATTGTTGGATTTTCCTATGTGATTTTCTGTACCTCTATCCTTAAATTGGATTTACCTCTTTATCTCGTGATTATAAACCACTTTACAAATGTTCAAACATGGCAGAATCCGTTAGGTCTTCCCTTTCTCCAAGGACCCTCTTCCCAGAACCCTCTGACCTTCTGCAGTGATTTGGGCCACTTGTTCTCCAGGAGTTTTGTGCAAATTTTCTTCCCTGATTTCTTGTTTCTTCAATCTTGTGTCTTCCTTAGTCTCCATTCACTGCTTTATTGTGTTCAAGCACATTCCCCAATAACATCCTAAGAAAAAGGTACATAAGAGGTATGTTTGAGTCCTTGCATGTCTGAAAATGTGTTTTTTAAAGATCTTTATTCCAATTGACAATTGGGTTTCATGTAGAATTCTGTTAAAAATCAAACTTCAAAGTCTTGAAGGTATTTGTCTTTCTCTGTTTATATTGCTATAATAGAATACCTGAAGCTAAGAAATTTACCCAGCATGATTCATGATTCTGGCATCCATTGGGGTACCTAGCTGCCTCACAACCTGGTGGAGAAATGGAAAAGAAACCAGCCTTGTGCACAAGGAGCTCAAGCATCCTGAGCAATGTAATCCAGTCACAGGAGACCTAACCTATCCCCTTGAGATGGGCATTAATCCTTTCTGAAGGTGGCACTTCCAGTCACCTAATTACCTCCCACTAGTCCCACCTCTTCAAGGTTCTAGCACCTCAACACCATTACATTAGAAACCAAGCTTCCAGCACATGCACCCTTGGGGACAAACTACATCCACACCAGAGCAGCATTTCTCTACCATCTTCTAGCATTAAACACAGCTGTGAGCAAGCAGTCCATGACTTTTTTTTTTTTTTAACTTTAGAAGCTTTTAAAGGCTTCTCTTTTATCCCTGGTTTTCTCAGATTTTGTAGTGATAATGAAATGTGAGGTTTTTTTTTTTTTTAATTTATTCTGCCTCTGTGGAACCAACTTAGATGTCCATCAGTTGATGAATGGATAAAGAAAATGTGGTCTATATACACAATGGAATACTATTCAGTATTAAAAGAGAATAAAATCATGGCACTTGCAGATAAATGGATGGAGTTGTACAATATAATGCTAAGTGAAGTTAGCCAATCAGAAAACCAAATGCCAATGTCAAATGTTTTCTCTGATATAAGGATGCTGTTTCATAATGGGGGCAGAGTGGGGGAACATGAGAGGATTAGATAAACTCTCGAAAAGGGGAGGGAAGGGAAGAGAGGGGCCATGGGGGTAGGAAAGATCATGGGGATGGAATGAGATGGACATCATTACTCTAAATATGAAGACACAAATGGTGCAACTCTACTTTGTGTACAACCAGAGAAATGAAAAATTGTGCTCTGTATCTATAATATGAATTATAATACATTCTGCTGTCATAGCAGCATTTTAACAAATTAACAAATTAGAATTTAAAAAAATATATTGTGCTAAACATTCAGGGTGTCCTCGCAAACTAGAGACTCCTAACCAGGGAAAATGTGCATTTTCCTTCTATCCTTCTTCTCTGAAACTCCTATTAGTCAGAGATTGTTCTTGAATGAGGCTCTAATATTCTTATCTTTTCTACATTCCATCTTTTCATTTTTTGTTTTAGTTTTGGGGAAGAGATTTTCTCCAATTTACTTTCACCCCTTTTACTTTTTCTTTTTTTAAAAAAAATATTTTTTAGAAGTAGTTGAACACAATACCTTTATTTTATCTACTCATTTTTATGTGGTGCTGAGGATCGAACCCAGGGCCTCGCACATGCTCTACCACTGAGCCACAATCCCAGCCCCACTTTTTCATTGTTCATTTTTCTTATAAATTTTTCAATAATAAAAGTAGATTTTTCTGATTATGAGAGTAATATGTACTCATTTTAAGGAGTTCTAGAACCATAAAAAATAGGAAATATTTTAAAATTTCATGGAAACCTTCTATTATCTGGTAATCAGCATAACATTTGGTATCTATCATTTTATAAAAGGTTCCTTTTATATATACTTGCTTAAACAAAAACACATAATTTGATATGAACAGGATGTCACTTAGGTTGTTTAGTCATAAATGCTATCCCTGTCCCCTCTTCATTTCCTCAGCATTCCACTGTAGTCCGCATTAACTGGTGTCTACATCCTAGTGAATGACAGTCTATATTTTTTCAATAGTCTTGTAATCACGTGCATGTAGAAACTCCCTTCCCTGAACCTTACACTTGCCATATAAGACTTACAGAAAAATCTCCTGGGAACTAGTCTCTCACGACTACAGAAAAATATCAAAGCCAGTGGATTGACATGGGTAGAATGTGTGAATGACTTGAGTATCTTAATTTATCCCAAAATGCCTGGGCCGGGCTCTGTGGCACACACCTGTAATCCCGGCGGATTTGGGAAGGGGGGGGTCATGTGGTGGGGCTGAGAGAAGGATCATGAATTCAAAGCCAGCCTCAGCAAAGGCGAGGCACTAAGCAACTTAGTGAGATTCTGTCTCTAAATGAAATACAAAATAGGGCTGGGGATGTGGCTCAGTGGTTGAGTGCCTCTGAGTTTAATCTCCATTACCAAAAAAAAAAAAAGCCTGGAAACAGAGTGTTTCAGATTTCAATTTGACGGGGGTGGGTGGGTGAAATATTTGGATTCTGGATTTTCATATTAGGGATGCTTAAACCATATCCATGTTGCTGCTGTTTTCTCCCATGCACAGATTCACATAATGATAATCATAAGCAAGACAGTTCTATCACCTTCTGCTAGATGCCATCACACCCTTCCTCTCCTGCCCTGACCACTCCCAACCACTCACTAATCTATGATTCTGTCATTTAAAAAATGTGTTTTTTGAGTTTTCTTGTGTGTTTGTGGGTGTGTGTGATGCTGGGGACTGAACCCAGGGCCTTGTGCATGCAAGGCAAGCACTCTACCAACTGAGATATATCCCCAGCCCCATGAGACAGTAGTTCCTTTCTATTTCTGAATAGTATCACATGGTATGGAATCACCAAGTGCCCCCTGCAGGGCATTTGTGCTGTGTTCAAGTTTGAACTATCACAAATAATGCTCCCATGAACATGCATGCCCAGGTTTTAGGGTGGACAAACTCTTTCATTTCTCTAGGGAAAATGCCCAGCAGTACGATTTTCAGGTCATAGGGCAAGTGTATGTTCAGTTATAAAAGAAACTGTCAAACCATTTTCCATAGAGGCTGTATCATTTCATATTTCCATCATCAGTGAAAGGGAGGTCCCGTTCTCTGCTTCTTCATCAGCATTTGGATTATCTCAGTCTTTCATTTTACCCACTCTAATAAATGTGTACTGATATCTCATTTTGGTCTTAATTTGCATTTCTCTAAGAGATTGTGGTGTTGAACATTTTTTCTTTTTTTTTTATTGTTGGTCGTTCAAAACATTACACAGTTCTTAATACATCATCTTTCACAGTTTGATTCAAGTGGGTTATGAACTCCCAACTTTACCCCGTATACAGATTGCTGTATCACATCAATTACCCTTCCATTGATTTTGAACATTTTTTCATGTTCTTATTTGCCATACGTACACCTTCTTCATGGAAATCTCTCTCCCTGTGTTTTGCCTATTTTCTAATTGCATTGTTATTGTTTAACAGTTGAGGTTTTAAAGTTCTTTTATATCTATATTCAAATCCTTTATCAGTTATGTGATTTTTAAGTACTAGAGAAAGTACCTGGACAAGCTCCTGTCTGCAGGTTGTCCTTTCATCCTTTTAACAAGGACAACTTTTTAATTTTGAAGAAGTCCAATTTTTTAGTTTTTTCTTTTTATGGATCATGTTTGGGGGCAATGTCTAAGAATTCTCACCAACCCCTAGGTCCCAAACATTTCTCCTGTGTTTTCTTCCATTTTTACATTAAATGATTTATTTTGAGATAGGTTTTTTTTATTATGATTTAAGGTTTAGGATGAGGTACATTTCTCTGCCTGTAAATATTCAATTGCTTCAGCACCGTTTGTTGAGAAGACTGTCTTTCCTCCAATGAACTGCTGTACTTCTCTGTCACAGATCACCTATCAGAATTTATGTGGCTCTGTTTATTGGTTATTGTGTGTGCATGTGTGCGTTTACAAGCACACATGAATGTATGATGGAAATTGAACCCAGGGGCACTTTGTCACTGAGCTATACCCCTAGCCTTTTTTATTTTGAGAGAGGGTCTTGCTAAGTTACTATGGCTGTCTTCCCACTCACAATCCTCCTACCTCAGCCTCCTAAGGCACTGGGATTACAGAGGTGCACCACTGCACTCAACCTTACTTTTTAATTTTCTTGAATTGATCTATGTGTCTAGCATTTCTCTAATTCCACAGTATTTATTACTGTATGTCTTAAAATTGAGTAGAGTGATTCCCCTGTTTTTCTTTCTCAAAATGATTTTATTCTAATTCCTTTGCATTTCCATATATATTTTAGAAAATCTATATCAATACTATTGTTCATATTTTGATAGGAATTGAGTTAAATCAGTATATCAATTGAGAGATAACGGACATCTTTACTATGTTGAGTTTTCCAATCCATGAAAACAATGTCTCTCCATTTAGTTAGCTTTTTTTTTTTTTCAGTGTTTTGCCGTTTTCAGCTTATGAGTTGTGGAAATGTTTTGTTTGGTTTATTCTTATCTCATAATTTTGAAATGACTGTAAATGGTATTATATTTTAAATTTTGGCTTATGCATACTTATTGCTAATGTATAGAGATACAGTTTATCTTGTATCCTGTGACCTTGCTGAACTCTCTTAAGAATTCTATGAATTCTTTTGAATCGTTCTTAGGATTATCTATATAGACAATCATGTTATCCACAAAAGGAACAGTTTTCTCTCTTACTTTGCAATGTAGACCTTTTCTTTTCTCTTCTCTTCTTGTTTTATTACAATGGCTAGAAAGTCAAATACCATATTGAAGAGCAGGGTTGGGAGCAGACATCCTTTCCTTGTCCCCAGTCTTAGAGGAAATGCATTCCCTGTTAGGTAGGATGTTTGCTGTAGGGTTTTGTAGGTATTCTTTATCAAGATTAATAAATCCTGTCTTTCTTGTTTGTTCAGTTTTTTTTTTAACTCATGAATAGGAATTGGATTTTGTTAAATGCTTTTCCTGTAACACTTAACAAGATCATATGATTTTTCTTTGACCTGTTAATAAGCATATCACACTGACTGGTTTTCAATATTACATAAACTCCACTTGGCTGTGATATATACAATTTTTAATAGTTTAATTCTTTC